GTGTGTAATTATGTACTCAGAAATGGGTAGAGTAGCCAAATATTGTTCTCAAGTAAGAGTATTGTTGCTTTAAAACAATATAACTCAAGTAAAAGTAAAAAGTATTTTGCATTAAAACTACTCTGAAAAGTACAATTTATCAAAAAAGTTACTCAAGTAAATGTAACTGAGTAAATGAAACTAGTTACTACCCACCTCTGACCGGAAGTAGCACTTTTCACACTATCCGGCATCCACTGCCTCTTAATTTCTACAGAACAAACCTCTATGTTAACAATCATGCACCTTGTAAAGCCTTGCTCTACTAATGTACAATACATTACTTGGCAGTAGTCCACTCTCATGTCTGTGCAATACCTATGGAGCCAGACCTGGGAGCTGATTAGCTTTTTGCATCCCAGTTTATCAGTAAAATATTACTTTTGTAGATGTAGAAAATGTTTTGCAAATATAAATACTTAATACACTTGGATGAAAGCAGTTTGTGTGCTGTGTTCTAGCTGTTCCTCACAGCTCCATATTCACATCTAAAAATGTTTAAATCTATTTAAAAAACTATTAAACTATCATACTAAACACTGATTGATTCAACTGACTTTAAAGCAGAATATGACATGTGGATGTGAATGTAAACCTGTTTAGAACCCAATTATGTTACAAACAAAAAAACTGTAACGGTGGATTTCTCCTCGAAATGCACTCATAAGTTTTTTTTATTACGATACTTTATTGTGTTATTTTTAATGTCCATTACAGCAGAAAAAAGAATCTTAACAGTCAATAAATAGTCTTAACCGGCCCTTTTTTTTTTTTTTTAAACAAATAAAAATTAATTTATATCTTTACCGTAAAACTTCAATTAAAAACCTAGTCCCAATTAAACGCCCAGTCCCTTTCACTAGCCGGTGTGGTTTCACATTTTGACAAATAAAGGCCTGTCTCAAATAGAGGCCTGGTCTGGTTACCAAGCGGTTCATTTTTTAATAGAAGTTTTTCGGATTATGTGTCTATTCCTTGATTAGCCTGCAAGTTATTAATATTCTTTTAGTCCGTAATGGTCCTCGGATAAAAAGAATCAAAAGGGTTTTTCATAAAAAATGAATTTAAGTTGTGAGTATTGTTTTAACAGGTTAAAGTGGTGTTGTGTTGGTATGCCTGGGGTCGTAATCCTCAAGTACGCTCTCTGATGCTCTGTCTGTCTGAGCTAGATCAAATGAATGATTCATACTTGATATGTTATCTGAAGCCCGATTTTTATACCCTGGAAATCCAGAGTTCTCGCTAGAGCACAATTTGAATTTGCTCAGCGAGTCACTCTGGCAATCAGTAATGATGTTCATTACCCATGCCGTTGGAGCCGAGCTGCACCAATCACATCGGTGTATCTGATATAGGCGGGCCAGAGGCGAGCTAAACAGATGACGACAGCGCTGCGACGACGAAGTTCAGAATCAGGCAGTAAACATTGCAAGATGGCTACGGATGAACACCAGCTGTTTGAAACGGCTTTGGCAGCTACAATGAACGAGTTAGACTTGACTTTTTCCTCTAAAAGAGGAACAGAAGACGGCGCTCAAATCTTTCCTTTGCAAGAAGGACATTTTTGCTGTTTTGCCGACCGGATACGGCAAGCGTCTAATCTACCAGTTAGCTCTGCTGGTAGCTAAGCTCTGGATATGTCACCCCGTGTATTGTTCTGATCGGTCGTAGTGTTATCCAGTTGCGTGCGGTGATATTTACAAATGCATGCTTGGTGCCGCCCCTCGAGTTGGGCCATTTTCATTACTCATAGCCAGACCCTAAATCTTTCTAGATTTGGGTCTGGATTTCCAGGCTACGATTTTTATACAAGTGATATTCAAACTGGTTTAAATAAACAATTTGATTATATTCCCGATCTTTGTTGAGCAACAGTTTTTTGTGAAAGAATTAAAGGTCTGTCCCAAATATAGGCCTGTTGATTTAATTGATTTTAGCAAATAATAGCCCAGGCTATTAATTGAAGTTTTATGGCAGTTAACTCATAGGAATGAATAAAGTGATGCTTTAGAAGACATAGCATATATATTTATTGTATATAAAATTGTATTTGTCATCACGACTCAAAATATCTTCAATTTCCGCAGTGAGTACATCCCAAAATACAAGTCTGTGCATTTAGGTGGAGTCAGATGGCAGTAAGCATAGATGTAGACGTCCTAGAAAAGTTATGTCCACTGGAATGGTTGGGGGATCTGAACGGGTTATGGTATGTTATGATATAACATAATGCCCCACATTGCTTGAGGGGGCACAAAATAGAAACTAATATTTAAGTAATTAATTAATATCTCCCTGTAAAACAATAACATTTCTGTTTTCATAAACGTTAAACAAACCAGATAAAGTGTGTCGTTTAGTGAGCTTTAGAGGGGGGTGTTTTAACGTTGGACACAGTCAGACTAGTTGTTTCCCCCTGCTTCCAGTCTTTGTGCTAAGCTATGCTAAAATAATATGACATTCAGATATGAATATTAATATAGGAGGCACAAAATAGAAACTAATATTTACTGGAAGTACTGCAATGGTGAGTGGTGATTATGAGCGGTTATTAGTTTTGCACCACTTGCCGGCTGATTCAGAGTTAATCAGGAATGACTCATGAAGAAAGTAGTCAGTATGTGATTTACAGATCTCTAAGAACTAATCATCACGTAATGTTTCATTCATGTATATTTATATACTATATAGTCCTTGATGCAGACTTGTTTGAAACTACTGTCATTTACCATGTCATTCTTACTAATTACTTTGTAATGACGTAGTACTACAGGGACCTTATTGTGAAGTGTAGATTAATTAAGTCATTGTTTCAAAGCTGGATCAAGCTGTGTCAAAATCAAAAGATATTCAGATAGATTCTTCTTTTAGCCGCCCTAATGGCCTCCTCTGCTCATTATAGCATGCTGCTTGGAAAAAACATTCTGCAGCTCCAAAACAGTTTCAGGAACTCACCTGGAATTATCCCCTCAGGATCGAGCGGGTCGAAGGGATTGTCCATAAACTTCCCAGTGGCTGTGGCCTCGTCCCTTCCCAGCCTGTTCTGTGCGATCAGAGTGTAGTAGCCGTTGTCGATGTGGGTGGGCTTGTTGAGGAAGAGACATCCGTGTTTCACTGATCCGTCGCTCGAATCGGGGATGAGCTGGGTGTATCTGTAGACGCCCTCTATGAGTTCGTTGCCATTGTACCGCCAGGTGATGTTCGGTTCAGGGTTTCCATCCACAGCAAAGGGGAAACACCAGTGGTGCTGCTGCACGGCGTCCCTCAGGAAGAGGATTTTGACTGGGACTGTTGGGAGATGACAAATTTGGGAGTTCAGAGGTGGTTACAGAAGAAAGTAGAAAACTGGGAAAGTAAATGAGTAACGTGATCACGTGTATCCAGGCTGAAAGCATCACCTCTAGCTCCCTTAAGGTAATAAATGGTGTGCCCCAGGGTTTGTTCTTAGGACCACTCTTATTTACAACTTGTTGAAACCAACACATTCTCACTCCGACCTCGTCACGTATTGACGTCTGTTCATGGACTTTCCACATCCACATACAATGTTCAAGGTACCCTGGGTGTGCTGGTTGTTGATGTTGGGTTGGGTTTAGGCAACAAAAGCACGTGGTTAGGTTTAGGAAAAAAGAAGAACAGGGTTTGGCTTTAGAATCTTATGGGACGTGAACACCGCTCTCTTGGGTGAAAGTCAGCGTTGGACCCATCCAAAACCTCTCCCGCTCGCCCCACTTGGACTTTTGCCGCCTTAATTTTCGTCCTTGTCCTGCTGCATTTCCCCCTGACGCCACCGGGTTAGGGTTAGGCTTTTGATACTGTACAATAAACTTTTCAAGTCTGTCCATCCCTACACTTAATCAGCGTCATGTCTTTATTTATAAGGCTATTATTAACTTGTTTCTTTGTAACCTATATAACTTTATTCATCTGAAAAATAATGGAAGCTACCATCTACACTGTGACATATTTACAAGACCTTCTCTGTTCCCAAAGTTCATCTTAAAATGGGATTTAAGTATGCTGCCCCTGCAGCGTGTAATCTGCTACAGAGTGATTTGGGTCTTGGGTAGCTGGTCTCCTTAAATGTTTTCAAAAGCAGATTTAAAGAGTTGGAGGAAGATGCATCAAGCTGTAGATGCTCTGACTAAACATGTGCCTCGTTCTGATCCAGGATATGTTGACATGATTTGTTGGTATGCTGTGATTTCTGATTTTTTATCTATTTTCTTTTATGTCAGTAACCGTTACATGCTGTTTGTCTGCAACTTTGTTTGACATGCTGCTGCAACCTCAGTGAGCCTTTTCCTGGTTTAATACATTTTAAATTCAAAAATAAACTTTTTCCTTTGCAAGAAATGCTAAATTACAAGCTGTTAAACTGCTTCTTGGTATCTTTAAAATGGAATATCAACCAGGACAGTAAAGGAAAAGTTTATTTCTACACTCTCATGTCTGCATGGTGAATCTGAAGCTACAGTCAGCAGTCAGTTTAGCTTAGCATAAAGACTGGGGTGGATACAGCTAGCCCAGCCCTTTGCAAAGGGAACAACACCTCAAATTAATCTGCAACTATTTCAGTTGTTGATTAACTGTTTCAGGTGTTTCAAATGTCAAATATTCTCTGGTTCCAGCTTCTCTAATGTGAAGTTTTGCTGCTTCTCTCTTTATATATACATATATATATATATATAATTTTAGATTAAATTAATTTGGGTTTTGGGGTTGGTAGGACAAAAAGTAGATGTTTGAACACACTGCCTTGGGCTCCAGGAAACTGTCATTTTTTTCCACTAATTTTTGACATTACATAGACAAAATGATTGATCATTTACCTGAGAAAATAATCTGCTGATTGATCATTAATGTTAATTAATCATATGTTTTGAATGTAAAATCTTAACGTAATCTATAACTGTCAAAAAATGTAGTGGAGAAAAAAGTACAATATTTCCCTCTGATGAAGGGGGGAGGGTGGTGAATAATAGGGGGAGGCATGTCAAATAATTTGTTGAGCACTTAGGAGGTGTCACAGCTCCAGTTTCTTCGGTTATATATTTTATTTCATTAATTCAGGTTGTTTCGGGTTTTACTTTGAAACTCACATCTCCTCTCGTTTCAGATCACTTCACTTCCTGCCCCTGTGTGTTTTCCCTCCGTTTTGACGACGTCACCTGCATCTGATTGTCTGTCCCGCCCTGATTAGCCTCACCTGTGTCACCAGAGTATTTAGTGTGTCTTGTTTTCTCTCAGTGCCAGTTTGTCTTAGGTCCTTGTGTGTCTAGTGTTCCAGCATTTTGTTTCCCTCTGTCCTTTTCTTGTTTTGTTTTTTTTTTTGGATTTAGCCTCTGACTCTGACTCTGCCTCATCCCTACTGGATTTGTTTGCCTCCACTAATAGTCCCTCTCTGTACCAAACCTACTTTTTTGACCAGTAAAGACTGTTATTTTACCCGAACTGTCTCCAGAGTGGTGCGTTTGAGACCACTCTCACATCGTTCGTCAGTTGTTTCAGGAGGGGCGTAGGGTTTTTATTTTAGCTTAGGGAAGGGACATGTAACTTTAAATGGTTGAAATGGGTTTGAAAGGGAAGTTTTCTCTAAAAATCACCAAAAATACTCCATTTATCATAACACAGAAACTGTAAAAACAGCAATTATCATTTAATTATTATGCTCGACAAAGGCTTCTGTCTGGTAACATAACCAAATCTGAGCTTCAAATAGTAATATCTTATTAAAATCACTTTATTCTACATGTCTCTTTAAAATGTCAAAAATAAACCAGTTGTACTAAACAGATTCTGTAAAAAACATTCTGTACTCCTGTATGAATGACAATAGGCTTTTTTCAACTCCGGTTTCATTTCAACTTTTATCTTTTAAACTTCAAAGAAGATGTTTTTAAAATCTAACGACGTCCACCATTCCAGGATATTGATATTATTCTGGGTGCTGCTGTCACTGCTGTGTATTTTTTAGTTGTTAAAACGGTCATTATATGCACATGTTGCAAATACCAGCTGTGTGCTGCTGTGGTGCACACATGAGGGAGTGTCTGTGATGTGTAGGCTTATTAAATTTGGTTGGTTTCAGGTGGCTGTCAGGCACCCACATTCTGCTAAAGTGAACACAGCTTCTGCGATGATGGTGATATGACTTGTGAGAAGGATTTGCATTTCGCTTAAGAAATTAGCTGTTTATTTTGATGGTTATGCTCCCTCTGTGCTGTTTGCTCATTGCAGCGGCCCCAACGCCTACATTTGGTGTGAATTTTTAAAAAAAAGAATTGGTGAGGGCCTATTTGTCACGCATTTTTCCCTAGTGGCTCAGAGAGAGTCAAGGAAAAATATTTGTAGCTTTAGGGAGGGTAAATAAACAGTCACACCCTCCTGAAGAATAAAGAACAGTCCTTACTTTTCACTACTAGTAATCGCCTGTGAGTCTAATTATTACAGAAATGCTCTTTTAAATGCATGTATGCTACTGCTGAATGTGCACCTTGATCAAGTGTAACTTAAAGTCAACATTTGGTGAGGACACACCCTGCAGGTTCCCCTCTGAGTTTCCATGAATCAATGTTCTCCATCTGTACTGCAAACCTGTTCTGACCTGCTATGAATAATGAATCCTGGTCGTCGTCGCGCCCCCGACCACAAAAGCTACCTGGAAGCTCCTCTGGATGTGAAGTTACAGGAAATGGCCTCATTTAGATCGAACACGACTCTCAAGTGCAGAGACCCCTCATACTGCACTGACAAGTCTGCTGCTCTTAACCCATGACCCAGCCTCACAAAGTGCTGCGCTAAGGGGGATACTGAGGTATTTGTCTTTTTATCTGGAGCTCACAGAAGTCCGTTGCAGTGAGTGAAAATTAGCGCTGTTATTCACATTAAACTAATCATCCATTAGCGACCCCTACTAAACTCACACGCGCTATTTCACGGCAGGGGTTAAAAGGAGGCCTGGAATTATCTTTAATGAGCCAGCTCAGTTCTGACTGAAGAATAAGACAATGAACATTTTGAGAAAATGTGGCAAATACACAAAATGATTCCCGGCATCAGTCCAGGCAGATTTATGGTGAAGTGGAACCTTTGCATTCAAAATATTAACTTATGTGATGGTGGGTATTAGTAAAAGTTACGCTCTGAATTCACACTTTAAAGGTGAAAAATGACATAGCAAAAACATGATTCAGAAAACCTGTTTTATGAAAGAGAAGCCAGAGCACCATGAATCAATGGCACAGAGAGCCACTCAGCAGTAAACACCCACTGTTCTGGGAGATAATTAAGAGTAATTAAAGGGCTAGCGGTTAACGAGTGTCCGTCCACCAGGGGGGCTGATGTTGATAGATTAGCTGCACTAACGCATTTACAGACTGCCAATCACTGCGGATGAAGCGGTTTTCCGGAGTAGGAGGGAAAAGTCCATTAGCACAGGCTCAAATCAGATCTTAGCACGGGTTATCAGCCCCATTTTCCTGACGTTCATTATCTGTCCCTTGATGCTCGTGCATTTGGCCTCAGCTGATTGGCGCCCCCGCTCTTTTTTGGCTTTGTTTTCTAATGAGTGTCACTGAGTTGGTGATATATGATATTGTTTGGCCAGTATTTTTTCTCAGTAATGTATCACTAATGCATCTGACTCTTGTTTTGTGTGGGACCGCTGGGTGCTGTCATTCCTCGGTGTTCCTCAACTTCCAGATGCACTAATGCATCTGAAAGGAGGAAACAACAGCAAACCTCCTGGGTCAAGCTGCTTCTGTAATTTAGAAGTACAGTGTACACGAGGTGAAGGAGTTCTTTAAGAGTGAAGAGAGGCAAGTTCACTTTCTTTTGTCCTCTTATTGTATTCCTGCATTAAATGACCAGCCATACCTGCAGCACTTCACTCATATTATTTTAACACTTCTCCCCAGTTGCCAGAGTGAGTGGCAGATGACAGAGAGCTCCATTAGAAGCATGGTGGGTACATGCTCGTATTTGTAGAGGGGGCATTTAGAAGAAATCAGTGCAGTGCATTTTTCTTTTCTCTGGCTGTCCACCCTGCCTGCACTAGAAAAATGGCCCCAGTGTGCTCTCGCCCTAACCTCCATTAAGCCCCGATGACTTGTATTGAGCCCGTGAGCTTTCAAGAGTGTGGTTTTCATTTTCCAGGCACTTACACTCAATGTCCAATTGCACCATCTCCTCCCCGGGCCCAGCTTGGTTCTCAGCCTCGCAGGTGAGGTTGTGCAGGTTGTCGTTGGAGGAAACGTTGGTGAGGAAAAGGACCAGCTCTAATGTGGAGCCCCAGATTCTCTTCTGTCAGCAGCCGACGGCGCAGACAAGAGCAGAGGAGGTTAATGCAGCTGGGTCACAACTACATATGGATCACTTAGACTTAGAACTATATAGGTTAGAGGGATGAAATGGGATCCAATTTACTACACTGTGGATCAATAGATTACTCATGAACTTTATTTATACAGCTTTAAGCTACAGTTTATCTAAAGAGCTTTACAGCATGGTAAGAAGAGCAGAAAATAAAGCAAAGAGTGAAATAAAATTAAAATCACAACTTTTAGAAAACCTACACACAGACAAGTGGCCTCGGACAAACACACACACACACACACACACACACACACACACACACACACACACACACACACACACACAGTCAGACAGTTAAGAGTTGGTGAAAGAGAGTGCATTTTTGAGCCGAAGCTTGAAAGCATCAATAAAATGAGATCAAATGGAAGAGGGGAAGGAATTACGTACTTTTTGGGGGAGGCTACTGAGCAAAAGCTATTGCCAAAAGATAAAGTCCTGAATCTAGAGACAAAGGAAAGACCTCAGGTCTCTGGCTGTGGAGTTCAGAAGTAAATGTAGGAGCAAGACCACTTAGTGCTTCTAGAACAATAATTAAATAATTCACAGGAAGCGAGTGGAGGGAAGGAAGAATTGGACTAATATTTTTGATCTCATCAGCCTTGCTACAACATTTTTGACTACAAAAGTTGACGGTGGGATAAAGACATCTGGTGATGTTCTATATTTTTCTTATTGTCCACAAATTAGCAGTTAGATTAGATGTGAAACACATTACCGGTACTATCTGTAGGGTTGCCACTGAGCTCTGACCAAGTGGTGCATTATCCTTCATGCAAGTATACATTTAAAGAAGAGAGGATTGCATTCAGAGATGGAACATTGATTGAAGTTTCCATGATCTTTTGTCTGGCAATCCACTTAACATATTTGGGTGTCTGGAAATGGAAAAGTCATACTAGCAAAGGACAGATGGGCAGAAACTTTTTGTGCATTGCCAGACAGATGATCAAGCATTAACATATTTTCAAGCTCACAGTTGCTTGATGATTTTATTTTAATTTCTGACAATAAATCCATTGAAAGAGTGTCCTCATACAAGTACTTGTGTATATGGATAGATGACAAGCTTTCATTTGATGTACATGTTACTGTAGTTAGGAAGTTTAAAGTGAAGCTTTTATTTTAGAGATAAATCTTGTTTTACTTTCAGTGCTAAGAAAAAAAACCTGTGGAAGCTATCTGATAGTGTTTTGAAGATCGAACTCCAATAAGCGAACAAATTAGGACACAGCCAGAATGAGTGTGCTGAGGATGCAGGAGAAAGTTTGCACCTGTCACAAGTGGATTCAACATCTGGGAACATTTTAGAGAGTTTGACTGTCCCTTAAATTGAATGAGGCCGTGCTTAGCACAGATGGAGGCCGTGTGGACCCCCTCAAGGGCTCTTCCCCAGTGCTCCACCGTCACAGCCACCCCCAAATCAATCTCCCATATAGACTTCAGATATTTGAGTGATGGGTCTTAAGCATGTTTTTTTTTTAATGTTACATCTCTGAGTGCGATCCTCTGCTTTGAATGAACACACAACATCACAACCAGTGTGTGTTAGCCTGTGTCTTAGTAGTTTCTGCCTTCCTGACTCTGTGGCACTCAGCCCAAAACATTCCTACTGAAAACATAAGCTGTGTCTCAAATCACATACTTCTGTACTTACACTTAATATTTTGAGTGCATAAGTGCGTTCACACTGAGAAGTATGGAAAAATGCAGTGCACTATGAGTACCCGGATGGTGCACTCAAAATGGTCAAGAAGTTGAGTGTGGAACTATGGACACTTCCCGCCCTCAATGGTCGCCATCTAGGCTACGTGGCAGAAGGGGAGGGACCACTTTTCAAACTGGAAATGGCGGCCGAGGACTGTGTGACCGTGAACGTCACTGCATTGTACAAATACATGTGTTTTTGCACAAAGCACCACTATACTGTTGTCGGGTATAAGCCAGCAGTATGTTTATTGGGTTAATTTACGATAATGCAGAGGCTAATGCTAGTTTGCTAAGTAGCTAATTTGCGGTCATCATTTACAGTAAGTGCACAACGGCCGTGTTTGGTTTGAGACAACACTACCCTGTCGAAATTTGTGCACTACCCCAATAAGTACATAGTGCATATAGTATACTACATGGAAGTGTACTAATGGATGTACGTGATTTGAGACACAGCATGGGTTTTGGAATGCACAGCATGTTTCTGTTGCCAGTATTAAGTCACCTCGGCAACTCCTGTACCAAAATTTCCTTGTCTTTCCTTCTTCAAAAAAGTATTTAATTTGTCTTTTTGAAAATATATGGTATCTATGATATCTGACTCTGCACCTTTATTTTTAATACAGCTAAAAAATTTTTTAAAAAAGGCCGACTTTAGGAGTTGTTGTCCCTGGCACTCCAGTGGGAATTTCATTTTTCCGATTTTTCCGACGCCACATGAATGCAGCGCATGACCGGACTTTCAAGTGCAGGCAGGCGCGTGCGCTTTTTCCTTCTGAGTTGCTAGCTAAGTTTAACCGTCTTCTGTCTGAATTAGCTAACACGGGGTGAAAGTACAAGTCGGACGCAGTAAATAAGGAGGAAGACTAGAGGAAGAATCTTGTCACGTCATTGTACTTCGGGAATACGTTGGATTTTGACGTATTCGAACGCGTTGGAGTTTTTGGATGTTGGATGTTTCATGTCGGCTACAATGGATTCTCTGATGGATGTAACGTTTAACTGACAGCCGTTGGCTGAAAACGTCACTGGTAAGTTCCATATTATTTATTTCTTCTTGACATAGATGCTGTTGTTTGTTGTTGTTTGTGTCGCAGACCGTGCTTGCACACTTGGTTGTCGTTGTCTTGTGTGGCCACTTTATTAGGTACACCTGTTCAACTGCTCCTTAACACAAACAGCTAATCAGCCAATCACGTGGCAGCAACTTGTTGCATTTAGTAATGTAGACATGGTAAAGACTACCTGCTCAAGTTCAAACTGAGCATCAGAATGGGGAAGAAAGGTGATTTAAGTGACTTTGAACGTGGCATGGTTGTTGGTGCCAGATGGGCTGTATTTCAGATTTTCATGCACAACCATCTCTAGGGTTTACAGAGGATGGTCCCAAAAAGAGATACTAACCAGTGAGCTAAAATGCCTTGTTGATGCCAGAGGTCAGAGGTCAGAGGATAATGGTCAGACTGGTTCAATATGATAGAAAGGCAACATGAAGTCAAATAACCACTGGTTCCAACCAAGGTGTGCAGAAGACCATCTCTGAAGCAACAACACGTCCAACCTTGAAGCAGATGGGCTACAGCAGCAGAAGACCACACCAGGTGCTACTCCTGTCAGCTAACAACAGGAAACTGAGGCTACATTTCACACAGGCTCACCAAAACTGGACAACAGAAGATTGGAAAAACGTTGCCTGGTCTGATGAGTCTGGATTTCTGCTGCCACATTCAGATGGTAGGGTCAGAATTTGGTGTAAACAACATGAAAGCATGGATCCATCCTGCCTTGTATCAACGCTTCAGGCTGCTGCTGGTGGTGTAATGGTGTGGGGGAGATTTTCTTAGTACCAACTGAGCATGGTTTAAACACCACAGGCTACCTGAGTATTGTTGCTGAGCGTGTCCATCCCTTTATGACCACAGTGTACCCATCTTCTGATGGCTACTTCCAGCAGGATAACGCACCATGTCACAAAGCTCAAATCATCTCAAACTGGTTTCTTGAATATGACAATGAGTTCACTGTACTCCATTGGCTTCCATAGTCACTAGATCTCATTCCAATAGAGCACCTTTGGGATGTGGTGGAACGGGAGATTCTCATCATGGATGTGCAGCCAACAAATCTGCAGCAACTGTGTGATGTCATCATGTCAATATGGACCAAAATCTCTACAGAATGTTTCCAGCACCTTGTTGGATTTATGCCACAAAACATTAAGGCAGCTCTGAAGGCAAAAAAGGTCCGACCTGGTATCAGCAAGGTGTACCTAATAAAGTGGCTGTTGAGTGTATGGTTTGACTGTGGAGGCTACAGCAGTGGTTCTCAACCAGGCGACTGGTGAAATCCTTTGAGGGAGCTCCAGGAGGTCCCCAGAAAAATTGGGAATATTTTATTTTCATATTTGACTGACTGTAGAAGTGAGCCCAGTGTGAGTAAGAGTCACAAAAATGACTATTCTAATCATTATTTATTTCATTTACAATTATCTTCTCAACTATACATGACAACTAGCTACAGAATTCTGGTCTGAATAATATCTAACATAAAAAATCTTTTCAGATGGAGGTCCCTGAAGCAAAATCTTTTTAAATGGTTGTCCATAACCTAATCTGTATCAATTCAAGGGAGCTTGGCATGAGAGTTTGGGAACCACGCAGCTACAGTATATGGCTATGTGGCTGTATGGGCATTCATTATCGCTGAATGTCAAACAGTGTATTTATTTCTAAAGTTGCTTAACTGTGCTGGTAGTTTAGTCTGCCTTACATTTTTATCCTTTCTCTGAGTGAAGTTTAAGCAAAGTATTGGTAAAATCCATGGTGTGGGCCATGGTTTTGAAATAGCCTATCAGCAATTGTGCTGCTTAAATATCAGCAGGTCACCATTTAATGATAAATCCAAGGCATTGTCCATGGTGCTCAAGAGCGCCTCATTGTAGGGCTGCACAATATGTCCTTTTTCTTTTTCTTTCTTTTTCAAACATTATTTTTAAAGCTTTTTTGCCTTTTAATTATTGTGAAGCTGAAGAGTGAAAGGAAAGTAGGGGAGACATGCAGCAAAGGGCCACTGGTTTGAATTGAACCCGGGCCCCTGCAAAGGACCAATCGGGAACCGCCGCACCTGATAAATGAAGCCAACACAGAGGTGCCATTCTTTGAATGACCACTTGAGGCTGGCTCCAGAAGCCAGTCAGTTCCCATAGACACCTATGTTAAAATGCCCCATTTACAGTAGAAGTAAACCTGTTTACAGCCTGGTACCAAAAACAGTTTTGCTCTCTGTAGCTAATTTTGACCTTCATGACAACAACCGTAGGGTGAAATTTTTAATTACTCACACATTTACATTTAATTAAAGCATTGAGTTAGATAGTATGAAGGGCGGGCTGCTTTGATTAACAGGCTGTCTGCTGATAGTGTCCTTGGCTTCTCAATCAGATTCACCCTCGCTAGGCCTGTCGCGATATACAGTAAGTCGGTTAATTGCATGGTAAATTTAAAGGGAGACGGTAACTTTTCCGGCTGCGATTAATTGCCATATTCATACGTGTTTGTTTTCCTCGTCTCTCTCCACCAAAGGGACTGGACAACAAGAGTGAATACGACCAACTTAACTGCACACCTGAGAGTGAGAGACTGACAGTCTATTTTTTTTTTTTGTATTTATAAGGTCTTTATTTATTTATTTTGATATTTTTACGTGTTATTTCGGATATTTAAATTTTCTTTTTTTGCATTCCTAAATATTCTTATTAAATAAATGTTTATTTCTCTTTAAAAGGGTGTACTTGCATCAATATGCCTTTATTATTATATAAGTTTAAAAAATGGTCTAAAAACAGCAAAATTACAACAATAATAAAAATGGTCTTAAAAGCACAATATTACACAATATTATCGCTTATCGCAATAATTTCTGACGCAATTAATTGCCCAGCAAAATCTGTTATCGTGACAGGCCTACCCCTCGCTCCGTTACAGGTTCACCCTCTCTTTCAGATGAGGTCACTTCAGACTCTTTAAAAACCAAGATGGCTGAAATGCCGAACTTGAGACTTCAAAATGGGAGTCAATAAACCAATGGGTGACATCACAGTAGCTACGTCCATTATTTTATAGGCTATGCAAAGGACTCAGCCTATATGGGGCCTGCTGAACAAAACTTGTAGCTATCATTAACATTTGTTTGCCACAGATCTTATTTTCTGCAGTAATCCAAAATCCAATGGAGAAATCCCATAGGCTCGACGAGGGAGGCAGTGCGATGCTAACATCCGGCCTACAGAAAAACACCATCTCTGGGGCACTCTATTGTAATCTGCATTTCTCTCCATTCTGCTCTTCCATCTCCGTAAGTTCTCATTGTCTTGCATCTCCATACAGCTCTTTGGTTGTATAAGGCCCCACTACAGGGCCTCACACCCTCTGCAACCAAACCGTGACATTTATGTACCGTTACGCCCCTTTTATATGGCCCGATATTACAAACCCCAAATTTGCCTCAAAGACTTTAGAGCATCCTCTTGTTTTCGACCCTCGATTCGTTTCAGGAAAAACTACTCAAACAGAAGAAGCCTCAGGAAGAGAATGGATGAGATATCCCTTTTCCAGCATAGACAGACAATCGATGTTGTGTATACAAAAAAAACAAAAAATACTTTTCTTAATATCCGTGTGGTTTATACACACACACACACACTGAAAAATCTTAACTACCTCGGTAAAGACGCGAGAGTAGAGCTCATCAGTTCGCCATCTCACACTGGGAGTGGGACTTCCTGTCACTTGACAGGTAAATGTCAGGTTGCCTCCTTCTTGAATCTTTGAATCTTTGGAGGCGATGATAGTCACCTCAGGCAGACCTGGGAGCAGCAGAGGAAACGGCATGAGCACAGGTCACTAATGTGGTGGTACAAGTGAGTGAAGAGCAGAAATAACACAGGGCAAAAACTCTCTCATATGTTTCCTGGCAACAAGATGTTCCTGCTCTGTGCGATTAAAACAACAATGCTGAGCCAGTTTCTTCCCTGCATGTCACTGCACCTGCTTGTTGAAGACGTTAATATGAAGAATAGGAACAAGAAATGGTTTTTATTTTTCCTTTAAAGCCAATTTGATGAGGCTGCGTCATTTCAAATATTCATCACATCACATGCACCTTACAATAATATAATTAAAGATCCCCTCCAGGTGTGTTTTAAGATACAGAAAAATACTGAATAATAATTTGCGTCTAATGTTTTTCCACAAAAAATATCCCAATTTGAATTTGTGCTAGAAATGACATCTGCTACTTATTCCTCAAAAATTCCTCCTGAAAAATTCAGAATGTACAAAATGTTTTCATTAGATGTATTTATCATTTGAGCGTGTTGCACTTCCTACTGTAAACATGCATTACTAACAACAATATATAGCATCACAAGACAGTGCAAACATGGAGTTCAGATATCACTTACTGCAGTTATCTATCACCAAAGAACTGAGGGGTACTTCTTGATCATCGGAGAAACAGGACAACATTTGGTTGTCCAGGTCACCGCGTTCATTCCGCTGCCACTGCTGGAGCCAGTGGAGGTCACATGAGCAAACGAGAGGGTTGTCCCTCAAAACCCTGAAGAGAAAAAGGGAGGAAATATCATCTCCACTATCTACAAATTCAGTTTTTAATGTCTTTAATTTGTCTGACAAAAAAGCACAACAAATACAAGAGCTTCAACCATCAAACATTATAAATAAGAATTCCACAGTACAACTAATGAATTAGTTATTTTGTGGCAGACTCTTTATGTAACAGGTTAAGCATTATTGACTCATTATATTGTAGCACATAATGAGTTTTTTACTAAGGGTGGCACATACTCTCTCTTTTTTAAACTACTAATTTTTATATAATTAGAAACATACAGTTTTGATTTAATATGTCCTTGATGAATTTCACCTTTAGATAGAAAATTACTTTTCATACCCTCTAACTTTAGATATCTTTAATAATGAATCAGCTTTCAAAAACCCCACGAGCCTGAAAACCACTGAAAAGAGTGCTGTCCATCAATCAGTGAAAGTCAACAGTTTTTTTTTTTACAATAGGCCACCTAACTAAGTATGTTCACCTGTTAATTAACCTCTGTGAAAATTATGGTGAAAGCACAATGCTATAAGACCACGAAAACACTGGAAGGTCTCCAATTTTTTTTTTAGTTTTGTATTTTAACTTATCTTTTGTGTTTTATCTTCCATCTTTGTACTTTACAGTAAGTGCACAGAATAATGACATTTGAAAGAGACAAAAGCCTCTCTTTGTTTTGTTGTGGTAATACTGTTGCCCTTGGTGAATTGAGAGAAAGCAGCAGAGAGAACTGTAGGTTATCAAATTGTGTTTACTAACTTCAGCCAGACTGTGATGTAGGTTTGATTTCAGACCAGATCTTTTCAAGTTCAAACCAGCTGTACTCCCCCTATGGCTGTATGAGTACGATAGTTAGCTCACTAATGCACATGCTATACCATTTAAAGCTGGGCATACACTGTACTTTGGTGGGCGTCGTTTGCCATGCATTGCACTGGGGGAGCGAGGTTCGATCATAGCCAAATCAACTGCTCCCACCCAGCTGTCAGACATTCGGATGAATTTCTGACATTTGATTATGACATAAGATTTTGGTCTCCAGTGTCAGGCTCTCTTGTGCAGTTAAAGCAGAGACACAAGTAAACTCTTAAGATTTTTTTTTAAACTGTGCCTGCATGAAGAATGCATGAATTGTCCATCCATCCATTTTCATCCGCCAGGTTGCGGGGGCAGCAGGCCAAGCAAAGCACCTAGACGTTCCTTTCCCCAACAATGCTTACCAGCTCCTCCTGGGGGACCCCAAGGTGTTCCCAGGCCAGATGAGATATGTTATCCCTCCAGTGTGTTCTGGGTCTGCCCTGGGGCCTCCTACCAGGGGTACATGCCCGAAACACCTCTAACAGGAGGCGCCCAGGAGGCATTCTGATCAGATGCCCGAACCACCTCAACTGACGCCTTTCAACGTGAAGGAACAGTGGCTCTACTCCAAGCTCCCTCCTGATGTTCAACATCTTACCCTGAGCCCAGCCACCCCACGGAAAAATAATTTTGGCCGCTTGTAGCCGCAGTCTCATTCTTTCGGTTATTACCCATAGCGCATGACCATAGGCGAGGGTTGGGACGTAGATGGACCAGTATATTGCAAGCTTTTCCTTCCGGCTCAGCGCCCAGCTTCCACATCAATGCAGAAACCACACCAAACCAAAGTTCGAGCATCTTGGGGCTTGCTCACAAAGCATTGTGTGGATGGAAAATAAGGAGGTCAGGTTGGTTGAGCAGTGGCAACAACATTTACATGCCTGTTTAATGTTTCCTCCTCCTATCATGACTGATATGACCGAGAGAAATGTTGGCAACAAGCGGCAACTCCTGGGGCTGAAAAATGAAGCCAGCACGGAAGTGCCAAAAACTGCAGTTCACTGAATGACCACTTGAGGCTGGCTCCGGAAGCCACTCAGTCCCCACAGACCCCCATGTTAAAATGCCCAACTTTACAGAAGAAATAAACATGTTAACAGCCTGGTTCAAAAAAACAATTTTGGTCTCTATAGCCAATTTCCTCCTTCATGACACCTGTGTAAGGTGTTAATTTTCAAATAACTCAACTGTTTACATTTTATTAAAGCTTAAAGCTACGCAAAATTAAGGGAGGGCTGCTTTGAGTAACAGGCCTTCTGCTGAAAGTGTCCTCAGCTTTTCAGCCAGATCCACCCCTCATTCCTCCACAGCCTCTTGCCCAATTAAGGTCACTTTTGGCTCCAAAAAACAAGATGGTGATGGCCAAAATGCCGAACTCAAGGCTTTAATATGGGAGTCCACAAACCAAGTGATGACATTACAGTAGCTACATCCATTATTTTAAAAAACAATGAGCAGTGATGAGGTCTGGCCTCCTGCTGTGCCAGCAGAACAGGTTGTAACTCAAAAATGGAGACTGTCGCCAACTTTCTTGGTTGTCTCTAGCAGCCTGTGAACAGATGTCTGGGTTAAGGACTTGGGTCAGATTTTTCCTGGAATATCCAAAGGATGTTTTGTTATGAGTGTCCCTGTGCCTTGCCTCTCTTTAGCTCAGTTACAGCACCAACAGTGTGGAACCTTAGCTATCATTAGCTAAGAAATGGAGTCCACTAGCATCAAGAAACAACCAGCACCCACAGGCCATTTTATTTTCTATTTTACATGTACAGTGTGAGCACTCATGTCGTGGCTTGAAAGTGGGAGTCCATAAATAGTGAGCTTTGGAAAAAAGCCAAATCGAAGAGTGTATGCCCAGCTTATTAAGTTGAGAAAGGTCTGTCTGCAGCTCACTGACAGCAAACAAACCTTAACCCTGATCTTGTATGTGGAAAAGGTTTGTGCTCAACCTCTGATAACTGTCTATAAGCCACAAACCTACTTGTTTAAGTTTTTCACTTGGCTAACTTTTGACTTAACAGCTGTACAAAAATTATGCGGGAGGACCCTCGTCTTGAGTTGGAAAAATCTGCCACACCCTTCTGGCATTATCTCAAAATAACATATCTAACTGTCACAACTCCTTTAAGATGATGTACTTCCATTTTAAACATTTAGCAACTTAAAAAAATCCCCCAAATTACCAATTGACAACTTTATGGCAAACAAATGAGGGTCCAGTTTGCAAAGTATACTGCAGGCAACCAGCAACTTTGAACCAAGACAAATGCTTCCCAACAAACAGATGTTACCATTGTCATTGAATTAGTAAACTGCTGGGCAGAGGCAGTGGCAGATTACAGTGGTCCTGGACAACTGGGATTTTTTTTCTGGCTCCTTCTGTTTATGCGTAGTCCGATGAGTAAGATTATTTCCTCCTTTACAGCCAACTTGATCCTCTGGAAAATGAAACTTACTTGAATAAAAGAGAGTTTAAAGGAACTCACAGGTTGAGCAGTGGTAGAAAATGAAACACCCTCCAGGAGATGTGCTCCAGAGAGTTTGATGCCAGGTTCCTTTGAGACAAAGAGAGACGACACACAATATTATTGACATTTGTTTTGCATCACGGGGCTGTACAGTGTTCCACCTATGTTACATGGATCAGAAAGGCTTTGTACATGTGGCACCGGCACCTTGGCAGTGTATTTGAAATGAGTTATGCAAGCATGCCATCTGCTCACATGTTGCTTTGAGTACAAGTGAAAATCTTTTATGAAAAAAAACAACAACTATTTTTAGCCTAAAAAATTAAAGTAAAAATGTTCTTTTCATCTTTGCAATGTAGCCCTGTTCCGCAGTTGAGTCACGCTGTGATTTGATTGTTCACTTTCAGAGCAATGCCTACCCGCTTTGAATTACTCTCAGTGGAAAATGTTAATGCATCCAAATGGGTTCTGATCAATTACCTTGGCAAGTATTTCACACCAGCCAGGAGCCACATGCACAAACACCTACAGCTTACCTCTCCCAGTGTTTGTTCTGTACATTAAGTGATTAGATGAGACACAAACACTTCTTGGAGGAAAGATGTAGCTCGGCTACACAGACTGATAAACTCCATGGAATTGCATTTGGTGGAAGTAGTTCCCTATTTACTGGAGAAATGTTAATATTTTTATACAGTTTACTAGTAAAACCACTGAGGGTCCTATTCTTCTTTGCACTTTGTAGTTTGCACTATACTACTTTAATGTTTGTGTTTTGTGTTGTGTCTCCTGTATGTTCAGTTAGTCTGTAACTTTGTGTTCTGCTGCTGCCTACCTGGAACAGGTCTCTCTTGTAAATGAGACCCTGGGTCTCAATGAGATTTTACCTGTATAAATAAAGGTTAATAAAATAAAATAAAAAATGTCCAAATCAGTATTCAAACTTGTGTTTTGTTTTAATTCACTGGCAAACTGGTGGAAGAAACTGAAAGGAGGTGGCCAGTGTCAGACACAAATGAGGCCAGTGTCCACAACTCTGTTATTGACCTCTGCTTCAAGCAAATACATCTGACAAAAAGGAATAAGTGAGAAGAATTGCAGTCGTTTTTTCACGGCTGGCAACATCTAGTGATGCGACATTCCAACACACATGCAGTGGCACTAAGTCCTATCAAAGTCAGGTGGGGTTGGCAAGGTTGAATAGTATGTATGAATATATATACCTCCTGGGGCCCATCATGCCCCATAGAAGCTTTGAATGTTTGCGGGTAATTATCAGTAAAGCTTTTAAGCCCTTAGATTTGGCATTCGGGACAGCCTCAGTGTTTAGCCATGATAGCTGTGTGGCTCTAGGGATGGCACTGTCAACTGGTCGGTCTACCACATTGGGCAGACTAAAATATCTCAACAACCACCAGATGGATTGTCATAAAACTTTGTACCAACATCCACGTTCCCCTGAAGATGAATCCTTGTCACATTGGTGATCTCTTGACTTTTCATTGACTGCCCCCAACTAGTTAAAGTTCTGCAAGGTGGATGGCACATAATTTTCTCCTGGCATTCATGGTTCCCACGGGATTAATCCTAATCAGGGTCCATATGGTTGTGGTTTTATATCAAATGTCTCAACAACTATAAACCATGAAACTTGGTACACACATTCATGCCCTCTTTGGGATGAATTTTAATCACCTTGGTGTTCCTCTGACCTTTTATTTATTGTGTCTAGGTCAGAATCTTAATCTGTACAATACTTTGGTTTATTACCAAATACTTATAAAACTAGGGATACATGATGATGATGATGATGATGATGATGATGATGATTTCTTTTTTTTCTCGATACCCAATATGCTGATTTTTTTTCCCGACTCATTACCAGTGCCAATTCTGATATATGCACATATGTTTCCACCTGATTGCAGAGAACATCAGGTCTCTCCTGTAGTTTAACTAACACATTGCCTACTTGTTTCATTATGGTCAAAACCAGTTAATATTTGACATATTTCAACTAATTAAAGTCTCCATAATTAAAGTGGCATCTTATTTGCCAGCATATCTGCAGAAGTGTTCATTTTGGGCCGGTGTCGGTATTTAATTTTAAAGCCTTTATCTGCCGATGACATGCCAATATGACCATACATCCCAATGTAAAACTCCCATCAGACTCTATTGTAGATGGTGTTTTGTGCTAATTGGCGAATGTTAGTATGCTAACATGCCAAACTAAGATGGTGAACATGGTTAATAGGAATGCACAATGATATCGTCATGGCATTGGTATTGGCAGATAGCGGCTTTAAAATGAAATATCCGATATGACAGGCCAATAAGATGATGCTGTAATTATGGGACTTTGATTAGTTGAAATAGGTCAAATCTGCCTTGGTTTTGGCTATTGTCACAATTGTCTTAGGGAGACCATTATCCAAGCCTGTTAAAGTGGGATGAATTTTCCAGTTTTCTTTAAAAATGTTGCATGAAAATAAGTATGACCTGCTTTACGTGTAATCTAAGTCAAAATAGTTCTTGTTTTGCCATGTGTACATCTTGAACCGCATCGTATTTTATGTCCGCATCTGCCACCAGGGCCATCACAATAATAATAGGCATAGTATTATGTCGGCTCCACTACAATAGAGACTTGATGTTCTCTGCAATATGGTGGAAACATATGTGCGTGTATTGGTATTGGCATCGGCAATCACCTGAAGTGAATTGAAAAATATCGGCTTATAGGATCCAGTATCGCTCATCCCTAAAAAATATTATACATGCATAATGTCAAGATGTTAGCATTGTCATTGTGAACATATTAGCATGCCGGAGTCAGCATTTAGCTTAGCTCAAAGCACCATTGTGCCTATACGTATAGCTTTAAAGAGCAGCCATAATGGCTTTACGCTTAGTGTTGATTAACTTTTATTTTTTTATCAATATTTAAACACAAAAAATGTGAAAAGCATAATCGTACATCTAAAATTGCGTTTGTTAGATTATCATAATAATCCTGTCATAGATAAATGCTACATGTCTTTATGTCAACCCTCTCAGGGCATTAAAATAACATCACAGTGGCTCTCAAATGATCCTCAGACAGCCAAAGAAGCAGGCGGTAAATAAACCTCCCTCAGAAGATGACAAAAAGCCACACTGGGGAGCGTGCACATGGAAACCAATACATATTCACTCTGGCAGGGCCAAGGGTTCAATTATTTGTTTTCCTTTCTCCCAAAAGTTCATGTCAGATGGGTTAGCCATTGGGGCTTATCCATTACCAGCTCGATTCCTCCCTGGGCCCACAGGGGGAGAGCAGAGCTGGGAATGGAGGCTCATTTTCTTAAGAACTGAATTTCATAAAAGACAAGTGAATTCCAGGAGGATTGTGGGTGAAGACGAGAGCAGGAGGAGAGAAAGGAAAGTGGTCTAAGCCTCCATATCCACTGCTTAGTTTGGTTATAGTCTGTCCGTCTTAATCTCAGAAATACATCTGTCACACAGAAGCCCCTATACTCCACCCTACCCGGGCCCACCCTCTCCCTCCACAGTGAAATATTGATTAAGTGATAATGGACCCTTAGTGGAGTGTATTTATTATGCATCAGTTGTCGATAATCCGCCAAAGTGAGCGAGTAAAAGGTGACTGGTGGATGTCTTCTCCAATTTCTCGAGCTCACCCCGCCTACCTCACCTCCTCCACCACCTCCCCCATCTCTGGTACTCAAAACCCGCCTGTCTTTCAGATAAACAACATTGGACATGTTGCACACACTCAGTGAAACGATGAGGACAAGATGGTGGGATAAGGGTCAGCTGTTGATGAATAGACAGATGTGACGGTTCCAGTCGATAAGTCGTTCATAGTGTTATTTATTGTCAGCCCTGGGTTGTAAAACCAAACTGTTAAGACATGTAAAGACTGAAAGAACTAACATGATGGCACTTTAGAAAATAATTTTTGTTTGCAATTGAAGTAAAAGACTTCTTGCCAATTTGTTCCCGAGAAGATTGTTGAAAAATCAGGTGGTTACTTACTACTGAATACATATTTACTATCCCACAGTAACGGTACGTTTCCATGGCGAGGTATGTTAAAGACTTGCAGCAAATGAAAACTGTGCATTTTTGTTAGTGACTGTTAGGAGCTGCAACTAAAGATTATTTTTACGTTTGATTAATCTGCTGTAATCTGCTGCTAACTTTTCTTGATTAATCAATGACCATTTAGTTTATAAATATCAGAATCTAGAGGAAAATGTTCATCACAGTTTCCCATTGACGAAGGTGACATCTTGAAATTCCATGTTTTTTTCTGACCAACAATCCGAATCCCAAAGATGTTCAAATACTCTATCATATTTTAGAGAAACTGGAACCAATACTGAAGTATACTACTTTGTCTTGCTTGCATTTTTTTTTTTTTTCAAAAAAAATGGAAATTATATTTTTACCTCTACATACATAATATCCTTCTAAATAACCTACTTCCAAGAAATCCAATTTATGCTTTCAGTATCTTAAATGAGCTCATAGGTTTACCAGATTTGATGACTAACCCAACTATTCAGACAAGCGACTGAGTCACTGCGATTGTGAGCAATGCAGCTCTCACTTAATTTGACATGTGCAAAATTAAAGGGCCTGCTGAGCACTGACTGACAACGACAAATAGGTTGACCCACATACAGGTCAAAACATGACAAGGGGAAGACAGTCCTTTTGTATTGACAAGGACACTTACACATACTGGAGCTTGAGGTTGTTTTGGAAGGCATTGGCAGAGATGACCCTCAGTTTACATGATGTGACTGTGCTGGAGAGTGGGAGAAAACACAATACATGTTAGTTTGTTTTGGTAGAAATAAAGCATTCGAACACAGACAACTGAAACTTGAGTTTATGTGAGAATAAAGCAGGGGCTCAAGTGTTATTATCAATTAATTTTTTTGCAAACAATCAACAAATTCCTCAGTCTATTAAATGTTGGGAAACAGTAAATAATGTCCCTCCGAACGTCCAATCTGACAGCAATGTTTGTTCTTTGCAGCATTAACAAGCGGACCAGATCAAATGCCTTTTGTGAGAAAGCTGCTCTTGATTGGTCAGAATTTCCATGCGGGAAAAATCCAGGAAGTAAAGAAGAGTACACTTGCAAGATAAATGTGACACTTTCTAATGTCATTGATGTCATGTGATTTTAGCGCTGGTCATCGTGGACTATATTGCTGTCATTGTTCATTTTAGTCAAACCATACAGTTTGAAAACGAGGCGCGGCTCCAACTAGAAAACAATGTTTTGATGCATTGGATGTGCTGAATGTGCATATTAAGGCAGTACAGGAGGAGGTGCACAATAATAATCCTCCAGGACTGTAACATGCTCATGTTTAACCCGAACAGTAGGTGATAGAGGACTGTGCTGTGGCGAATGGAAACCGGCGAGTGCAACAAGTCCGACTGCTCTATCTCAGCCCGTTGCTATGCATGCTGTATACGTCATCGTGCCAGAAGGGCAAGGAAACAAGCATGCGCAGAAAGAATGGAATGGCTGGAATCGGGTAGGAGGTGTATACAAGACAGAATAATTCTTCCATTCGGGTTCTGAAATGGAATATTCCACCCCTGTGCACCCGATTAGATTTTCTTTCGGGTTGGCTGTTTTCATTCGGGTTGAGGTGTTTACAAGGAGCATTTCTATTCGGGTAGGGCTTCCAACCCGAATGCAAAAGGAATATATGGCTCCATGTAAACATACGTAATGTGTCATGTGACTGCAGTTGGTTCAGATCGAGGTCAGAGCATGTTCTCACCACAAATGAATCGCACTGGAGTTCGTTTGTAACCACCTCTTCAAGAAGGTCTCAGTCCAGTTGTTTTGGTGCGCACCTGAGTGCGATTGCTGTGTTCACACCTGCCCAAACAAACCGCACTTATGGGGCAAACGAAGTTGAGTTCGATTCGGCATTCCCACTCATAGTCTCATGTATGTGCATCAAGGGATTGTAACATCTAGTCTTAAACTGACCTGAACTCACATCTGGGTAACAATGCCGGGTTAAGACAAAAGGCGGAAGTGTCGCTAAGCTCCATCGACTTCCCAGCAAGCCAAAACAATTGCTGCAGCACCAATCTGCAGCGATTGTTTTGCCTTCTGGTCTATTTTCTTTACAACATCATTTCAGTAATAGCCTAGTATTATTGCCAGATAGAGACTGAAGATTTGCTCTGTGTGTGATTAGAAAAGACCAGAAGAGCAGAATTGCTTTTTAGTTAAGTACATCACCCCTGCATTTGTTCAAAACTAAAAAAATTTGTCATTACAGAGATAGTAAAGTACCGAAAAGGTACCATCGGGTAACGTGACGAATCGACGGGTCTAATTTTTAAACCTACAACTAAATATCTTGATTTGCTTTACTACTGTCTCAAAAACAGATGTGCTCACCAACGCAATGGCAACGTTGTCCGGTTCAGGCTCTGATTGTAACAGAAATACTTAAATATCCCTAATGCAACTAATATTAAAACATTTCTTTATTTTGAGGTGCAGGTTTATCTGTGTGCTTGTCACTAATGGTAACCAAAGTCAAAGAATTGGTTTCCAATTTCTCAAGTTGTTGCTAGTTGCAACCTGGCAACTGTTATTGTAGAGTCCTGAAATATACTTAATTTACTTTCGTAGCAATACTCACATTTGAGAAGCCAAAACCTGTGAAACTTTGGCTTTTAAAATGACATGATTAATGTAATATTTGCCAGCTTTCTATTTAAGGAAAATCATATTTTGTGTGCAATTATTTTTTTAAATTATTTTTTTTATACAGTTATATTTTGGACAATAGAACCAATATAATACAAAGAGCTTTGAGTGTTAAAGCTGCCACATTATCTCTGTAAACTGCATATGTGCACTGTGAGAGCAGAATATTCATAGGCATAGCAACAGTAAGTAAGGGGGAGCTTATTGAGCAGTCAGTTGTGTAGAATGACAACTGTATTGAGAATCGCACTTACAGAACAAAGAGTACTCAACACAGTACAGTAAAACAGTGTTACAATATGATAGCCTGAAGCAAGTGTTGAACAATGGTCTTTGTCTTACAGTAAGTTGTCCAAGTTGTGTGAAAAGTACTTACAGGTTCTTTAGCTCTCTGTAGTTAAGAAGATCAATTTCTGTTATATTCTCCAGCGCTGCCTGGTTTTCAATGTAACTGGTAAAAAAAAGAAGAGAGGTGGAAAGAGAGAGGGAGAGTTGCAAGGTAAATACATTTTGTTGTGACCTTCAGCCTTCTGTTATGTAGATAATCAATTAAGCCCATGCTGAATGAAAATAATAGATGGAAAAGACACAAAACACTTGATAATGAATTGTGAAAACAAGTGAAGGAGATCCTTGACCAGGGACATATAATAGAATGAAGAGGAGTTCATCATCTTTTGTGTTTGTTATTGAGGGCCAGAGGTCTTCAAGGTTTTTCAAGCCAAGGACCCCTCAGCTGAAAGAGAGATGGAGCAGGGACCCCCTACTACATATCAAGTTGAGCTGCACATTCATCTGGGCCTACAATATATACAGTCAGGTCCATAATTATTTGGACAATGATACAGTTGTCGTCATTTTGGCTCTGTACACCACTACAATGGGTTTTAAATGAAACAATGAATACCTGCTTAAAGTGCAGACTCTCAGCTTTCATTTAAGGCTTTTTTCAAAAATGTACTCAGATTCAACCAATGTTTCAAAACTCATTAGACGATGCTTCACAGTGCAGTTGGACATTCACCTGAAGCATACTGCAAAAGCAACCAAAGACATTTTTAAGGCAAAGAAGTGGAATGTTCTGCAATGGCCAAGTCATATCATCTGACCTGAATCCAACTGAGCATGCGTTTCTCTTGCTGAAGCCAAAATTGAGGGCAAAACACCCAAAACACAAGCAGGAAGTGCAGACGGCTGCAGTAAAGGGCTGGCAGAGCATCACCAGGGAAGAATCCCAGCATCTGTTGATGTCTTTGTGTCCAACACTTTAGGCAGTCATTGACTGTAAATGATTTGCAACCAAGTATTAAAACTGACTGTTTAATTGATGATTATGTTAGTTTGTCCAAATACTTATGAGCCCTTAAAGTTGGGGGACTGTGTGAAGAAATGGTTGTCATTCCTACATGGTTCATACTACATTTTTGAAAAAAGCCTTAAATGAAAGCTGAGAGTCTGCATTTTAAGCACGTATTCATTGTTTCATTTAAAACCCATTGTGGTGGTGTACAGAGCCAAAATGACGACAACTGTATCATTGTCCAAATAATTATGGACCTGACTGTATATATATATATATATATGTAAACATACCTTTATATGGTGTGAACAATAATAAGCTATTAAGATAATGATTATTGACATTCATGTATTTATACATCATGGATTCATAGGGAACAGTTAGCCTATCATCAACATTAAGTGAGTTTTATCTTTATTTATTTTTATTTTTTTTTATCAAACAATAATATGGCTGAGGCTTTTATTACGAAGATAGATACGAACATAGGGAGTAAAGCTGTGCTGCTGGTGACAGCGTAGGAGGCAATTAAAAGTTTGTCATCTTGTTTCAGACGACAGAGCCTCCATGTCATTGTTACAATCATGAGTATGGGTGCAACTTGTAGTCCTTGGCTACACGTTAGCCTAGCGGTAGTTAGCAGCAGACAGACGGCAAATGATAGCTTAGCAGATCAGCTGATGTCCTGTACAGTAAACCACACTGCAAAACTCAGAGTGCTCGAGACTGTCGGTTTCACGCCAAGGGTAGCAGCAATATACTGGTTTCAAGGTATACCGTGATACTTGACTGTTAACCATACCATGTACATTTGCTTATCTACCATATTGAAAAAAGACTCTATATGAGACACATTGGGCTTTTAATCAACTCCAATGTAAACCCATCTTTGTCATTATTAGATGTTCACAGCAACAGACGTAGTGCAAAGAGCACAAAATTAGCTTCGGTGAGATGGATGGGTTCAGCAAGCACTTTGACCCAGGAGACAGGTGTTGGCGTCCTGTGTAAAACGAAGGGGGCTTTCACATCAGGGACTCAGGCCTGGCTCCAGGTAGACTTGACCCTAAAGTCTAGTTTGCTGGATTAGTGTGAACACTGCGCACTGTACATGAGCAAGGTACATTGATTTGTGTCAGAGTCCACTTAAAAAGTTGTCTTGAGTGTGGCTCATGTGTTCTCCGGCACGGTACACATCAGGCATGAACACCAACTGTGCATAAACACTAGAGATGCATGATAATATTGGCACATCGTCGGTATTTGTGGATATTGGCTTTAAAATGAACAATCTCAAAATTGCCAACAGGCTTATTACATACATTAAAAAGCATTGTATTTCATGTGTTCATGTGATGGTGGGCTCATGATAGGAGTATGCATGCGTAATATGATGTTAGTTGCACAACAGAAGAGACTTGATGATCACTAAAATTAAGTAGGGATATCGAATATCGGCCAAATGAATTACATATTGGCATATTAGATATCAGCAAAAAATCCAATATTGTGCATCCCTAAAAAACACAGAGGTGAACTGTTATTTAAGACTACTACAAGGAGTTTTTAACTGGTTATGAAACTGTCTCAATTTAATACTAATGCCTCGGTATCAAAAGGGAGTGCATCCCGCCATGGACAGACCCAGATTTAGCTTCGCAGTGGGATCTTTAACAGGTTTACCTTGCTGCTCCATAGGTTCCTGCTCCAGTGTCCATCTACCTTTTCTACACTGTACCACAACCTGAACCTAATAGGTAACATTGACTTATTTTGTCATGTGAGTTGTTAGCTACTTATTTGTCAAGAGAGTTGTTAGTCACCTGAGTTGACTGATGTGTCTAATGCCAACCATGATCTTTTTCTAACCCTAACCGAGTAGTTTGTCACCTAAACCTTACCACAGATCCCCTGCGCTAAAATCCAATGCAAAAAGCTGCTGCAATGGGGCCTTCTGCCTGACCGTCAAAAGAGGGATGAGATCACATTGGCCCTCAAGACAAGACCATGAACCTTTGTTGCACAAAGTAAAGCAGAGTAAATGCCGGCCCATTGCTAATGACAATCCACACTAAATACTGAAAGCAACAACAGTGGCTGAATTGAGTTCGTTACCTGTGTAACCTATGTGTCAATACTCAGCAGCTGATATACTTGAACCATTGACCTCTTTGTAAAGGCGTTATTATTAAGAGTTTAGAGAAAGAATGAGGAAAAAAAGGGGTGGGACGAAACACATGGGAACGAGCAGGATTTGAAACTATGATCATGTGAATAGAGTGAGGCATTAAAGACAGAGTGTAGCACCCAAATTCGGCCCCGCTGAAATGTGTCTGACCTCCCTGACATCCACCGAACAAGCTAACAGATAACAAAACCATCCGAGATGTCCAGCGACTCTCAAACCACAAAGCTCATATCAGAACTTAATATTGCTCATGTGGAAAAAAAGAATAATGTCTTAAGAGATGCCCGGTAGACAAGGCTGATGGGAACTTCTTCTCAATTAGTCATTTTCCACCTTTCCAGACACAGCCTACCTCAGAATAACTAGTGCAGTGTAGATCAATTCAGCACTCAATGCAAGGACAGCCGGCTCTTTCATGGGATGTTTGAATAGATGTCGTATTCGGACCTACCAAGGCTCTCGGTGGAGCAAACCACCCACCCCATTCTCTTCCCTCCTCCACCTCTCACTCCATGCTCTCCTGTACTGTATATAAGTGTTGTCCATTGAGCTCTGGAGGACTCATTGTTGATTCTATTTTGATAATGAAAGATTTTATCTATGTGAATGTCTTTAGTGCTCTCTTTAACTTATTATATCCTTGGGAAAGAGTTCCTTTCCACTGAAATGAACCAAATAATCGTAATAAAAAAAGACAAAAATAACATAATTTGCAGGAGATTGCCTTGAAGTGACCACAGAACAGGACAATTGGAAATGTTTTTATGAAATGTGTGTGTGCAGTGTTTACCACATAATAGCATTCTGTATTTGGCAGCAAACTTTCTATTGCTGCCATTACATAGGTTAGACCCAGTGCTGGACAGCGTGGGGTTTCCATAGGAACACAGCCAGTATGTTGGAAAAACAACAGACAAAACTGAAATGAGAGTGCTGTTTTTCTAAGAAATAAGAGTTTTGTATTTCCAGATGAACAAATGAATAAGTTTCACTTTCACTGCACTTCGTGCTCTGGCGCTCTGAGAGTGTGGTGCTCTGAGTAACCAAATGGTAGGCCTATATTCCAACAGTGCTCCAAACTAACAAACAGTCTAGTTTGTGTCAGAGCTTTTGGGTTTGGAGTGACTGTTAAAGGTACCCAGGGACCCCATGTGTTCTTTATTTCTTTATTTCAGACCCAGGGGGGATCCATATCACAATAAAAAAAAAAACAGTAAAAACAGCAGAGTAAAAATAAGAAAGAAAAATAGCACAAAAGAAAAATACAAATCCTTTCACAATGTTCAATGTCTAAATCTGACAGAACTGCATACAGGGTTAGCCAAAACAGTGATTAAGTCGTTTTCTGACTCAGATGCCCTACACATAAATCTATACATCAGGTTACGTAGAACAGCAGAGCAGGTAGGTACCCTGACACTAACAAACATATGACTTCCACTGGAGCTTCTTGAAGCTCTCAGCAGCATGCTCCTCATGCTGTCATTATAAGCCACGGGGAGTTTTCTAATGCTGCCTTGTTTATAACGACACCACAGGTCGGCAGTATACAAAGGTGTATAATACGCTCTAAAGAGTGAGATCTTCACAGATACAGAGCACACATGCTCAACTTACGACACAGCATGTTCGCTTGAGCATACAGCTTCTGACGCTGCCTATAGATATCCTTGTCATCAGACAGGTCATTTGCGATAATATGGCCCAAATATGTAATCTCACTGCACACACTGAGTGCAGTGCCAGACAGATAGAAGTCAGGGAAGGTTGACGGTCTGTCTTCTCTACTTCTGACAATTATGATCTTACTCTTTTTAGCGTCATCAGCACCATACTGTGTGCATATTCTCAGAAGCTATTGGAGACCAGCAGTATATGGGCTAAAGATGACCAAATCATCTGCGTACATAAGGTGATTAATTAGTGAGTCACCAACCCTACAACCTGTACCACATGCATTTAA